TGGCGAGCTAGATGTATTGTACTCTACATGTACGAATACCTGATACTAAGGGTCCGGAGAACAGCGCGACAGATCCGTAAACACGCCCAAGAGCTCGTGAAACTTCGCAAGCAGCGTTAATTTGGGTTACCAAGCAGGCACTAGACTGCCCTTATGGGAACAGTTTGTTCCCAAAACATTTGGAACTGCCCATTTCTTCAGGCTTACAGCCATTACGATTAGGTGCGTTCTCGTGTGGGGTATAAGTAGGCACTGACTGATTTTTTCCAGAGTCGACTGTTAAATTTAGGGATCTATCGACCGCATTTGCCGTAGACGCAACATTCTGTAGGTTTGCGTGGTCTCACGTTAAAGGCAGTATCATTGACAAGCGTATCTTGATAGCTAGCGCTTCGGTGTGCATTCAATGTCGTCAATACTGAAAGTCCTGTCAATGATGTAAGTGAATAGGTTGGGTGACATGGCGCATCATTGTTGGGCCTCTGAATTGACGGAAAGGTTTCGTTAGCACGCCTTATGTGTCTTCCTCCGCGTGAGCACTAGTGACGAATGTGCATAGAAATTTCAAATTCGACGGAGTTATCCATTGTTTTTCTGTTAGTACCGAAGCCACCCGATTACACTTGTCCTGATCGACTATGGGTAACGCTGCAGTTAAACAAAAACTGTTCATTTTGCCACGGCTGGCTAGTGCTATCCGTGGCCATGATTGAACTCGGCTCTCCTTACAATCAGTGACCGACCTCATAATGTTAACTGAACTTCTGAAACTCGTATTTGATTATGAAGGATTACCTAGGTGCGTTTGTAAGGTCAATACCATTTGGCGAAGACCGGTGCTTTATTACACACATCAGAACACTGGCGCCTTTTCGGCCGTCTGCATAAACCATGCCCAGGAAAAAAATTACCACCTAAGTGGCATACATTTCTTCTATAAATTTTCGATGTCCTTTAAATTCAAATATGTTTTCTGGAAAGAATGCTCAACATATCCTATCTTGTACTCATTTCATAGCAAATCTTGTTTTCCTCAATCTTCTTACTCGAGGAAGGGCTATTTTTCGGTTTATAAAAGTTTATGATGAGATTCTTAAAGACCGTGTAATGTTCTCTAAAATCACATCGTATCTGTTAGTTTATTAACGTCCCTCATAAAATGCACAACACAGTCCACTTTCATTAGGAAATTTTATTAGTACTACATGCTATCTTAATAGCATGGAGGAGTCACTATGTGACGGTCTGGAGGGTTTGCGTTGCGAGCTCCTGGGCAAAGCGGAACTTAATTGCTTCTCTACTAGATCGGCGAAACACATACATTCATGGAGGAATGTATTGATTTTCTACCAGATAGGTAAATTTTCGATAAACTATATTTAATTTTATAAAGCCATCAAAAATCAATAGAAAAAGTGCATGCTACGTAGGTACTCATTTTTAAGGAGTGCGGTCTTTACAGGCAACTGAAAAGACGCATTGAGAAACCAGTGTCCTATCATGTCTGAAATATCATGGAGTTATGCTCCACATTAGAAATCTATACAATCCAACTTAAGTAATCCCTCCTAATTTAAAACACATCAGAATTTCGGCCACTATTTTATGAGATCGGTCTCTGACTGTATACTGCTAATTGGGACTCACCAAGGAAAGCGCCTGAGTCTCTGTGGCGCATATAATAGCTCTTTGCCTTCCGTAAACGGTTTTGCATGTTTACAAAGACTATAGGAATAAAACTATACGTAGGATGCACTAACTTTTCCAGCTTGGGCGTCAGCTTAATTTGTTATTCCCTTATTGTTGATCATGACATTCCTCGGATAATTTACTTTCAAGTATTGCTAACAAGGTCTTCCCTGAGCTTTATTTACTTGTTAGTATTCGTACTGGTGACAATACTCTTCTTTATACGATCCACCATGGATTTCGGAAAAATTTTAATGTCCGATATGATCTCAGATGTATGACTACAGCGAACTTTTCAGAAAATAAGGACTAACCCCCTACGCAGAGTCCGTTAATCCCAACAGGGATCTTGACCATAAACTAAAGTGGGCTCTCGAAATTACTCATGATAATCTTATCCCCGGAATAATTCGCACTGTTTATCAGGCAGGTGCACAATCGTAGAATAGGACACGGTATGATAATTTGATAGATGTCCAAAGCCCTCACCGTGATATATTTTGTGATCGGGTACTCACCCGAACTATCTTATGATCCACTTTCTTCGCAATT